AAATACAGCCGCCAATGATCAGCCTTCCTTTTGGAAACCTGAGGAATTAAGGATGGAAAAACAAATTTCCTGCAGTCAAGTGGAACAGGATCCAGAATACTGGAGCTCCCAGACCTGCCAGGAGATCAGAAGTTTTCCTTTCCTTTAAGAAATATTATTGAACTCACTCCAAACCAGAGACAGAAGCATTTTTGATCCCTGTCCCACCATCAGTAGTGCTATAATAATTTGTTTTAACATGGAAAAACCACAACCCTGGATCTTCCAGGGCACCCTGACTCGGCTCATTTCATAGCCATTCCTTCACTTTTTATCTCAAATGAATTTTTTCCTTTTCCTCTAAGAGGATATTGTGCTGGAAAGGCAAAGCAGCTGGACACCAGCAGGGAAGTGCAGCTCCACAATCTGCTGGTTGAGGATTGATTCCTCTCCTTCTTGGGCTATTTGCAGCTGATGGATTTTTGGGAACTACTCCAGCTCTGTACCAAGGAACATTTTTGCCAATGGTCACGTCATGACCTACAAATTTGTCTGCAAAAGCTCTGATTTAGCACATGAAAAACTGAACATTTATGGGCTGAATTGTAGCAAACATGCCACAGCAGGCCCTTGGCTGCCCTAACGTCTGAGAGGGGCCAGAGCAGCCCCAGGATTTCAGTGAAGGGTTAGAAAGGGAAAGGCATTGAATCCTGTCATGCTGCAAACATCTGAAGCTGATTTTCCTTTCTAAGCCTGTGCAGCCCATCACTTTAAGAAGCTGATTTTTTAAAAATGAGTTTTTAAGTACCACCCTGACTGAAGAGTATTTTTCTCGAAGTGGAAATACTTCTTTTTTTCTAAATAGAAAGAAAAGCAGAATGCAGTGTAACCAGTGGTTCTAAATGAACAAACCCAAGGGGAACCACACACAGGAGCTCTACAGCTTTGCAATAAAAATGTTCCTCCACAAGGGAGCAAACCCTGAGTGAGCGTGAGTGTGAGCCCAGCCTGGAGACAGCAGAGCTGTCCAAGTGTCCGTGGGCCAAATCTTTGGTTCCTCCTCTCATCCAAAGCACTTTGGCCAACTCCCATCAGAAATCCCCTTCAAACCTGTCTGAGCACAGCAGCTGAAAGATTATTATAAAATATCCTCCCAGCAGTGGGCTGCTTCTTTGTTAATACCAGCTATTCCATTTGGATAAACCCCGGGATTAATGGGTGTTTTTCTGTGTGCAACACAAATCTTTGCAGCTTTACATAACATTTGGTTCCTTATAGGAGGGAGATAGGGCCATGAAAATCCATTTGCAGGAGCTCCTTTCACCTAAGTGTACATCTAGTAAATAAATTTCATCCATTTTATATATATTTTTACTAATACATTAGTAAAAGCATTTAGACCAATTCACATTATTACTCAAAAGAAGTGTTTAAAATAAGCTGAGAATTAAACATTTTCTAATTGCATAACGAGGTGCAAAATTCACAAATTGTGAATTGTAAACAAAATGTAAACTCTTTGTAAAACAAATCTATCTGCTGCTCAAAGGATAGAAAGGTGAGCAGAGCCTAATTCCCACCTTTACATTTGCATTATTATTTTGCAAGCTAAAAAAATATGCAAAAAATATCAAAGAAGCAGAGCTTTGTTGTGTAGCATCACATGAAGTCTGAACAGCACTATAACATGAGAATTTGTGTTTAATGCATAATTTATTATGTTGTAGGTGCCTACAGCAAAAAAACTGTAAAAAACCCTGATTTAGTAAAAAAACTGATTTAGCAAAAAAAAAAAAAAAAAAAAGATTTAGTAAAAACCAGTCATTCAGAATTAAAATATCCAATTGTTTGGGTTTGTTTTTGTTTCTTTTTTAAGACAGCCCAGTGACACAGGATTGAGGATTCAGAGGGGAACTGCTCTATCCTTTAAAATTGGTCCTCTGAGGGTTTTTGCACTGTGGACCTGAGGTAAAATCAAACAGAAATAATGTAATTGTTCCTCTGAGAGCCAAGCAGCTTAATTAGATTACAGTTACACAAAATGCATTGATTCATCTCTGATTATGTCTACAATGAAATCACAATATAAATTATTCTTTGGATGATACCAGATCAAAAGACCACCGAAGGATTGTCTTCCTTCATAACTCAGCAAGAGCAAAGCATGTTTTGGATACTATTATATGGAGTTACATAGAAAGGAAACAGAGTGTTAGTAAACAAATTTTATATATTTTACATATTTTTTACTAATAAATATTAGTAAATATAAATATAAGTAAATAATTTTTAATATTTACATATTTTCCTAATAAATATTAGTAAATGCTCCTATAGATTTTATATATTTACATATTTTACTAATATTAGTAAATACAAATATAAGTAAATAATTTTTTATACTTACATATTTTACTAATAAATATTAGTAAATGCTCATATAAATTTAATATATTTTACATATTTTACTAATATTAGTAAATACTAATATAAGTAAATAAGTTTTTAATATTTTACATGTTTTTACTAAAAATATTAGTAAATACTAATATAAATAAATAAATTGTATATATTTTACGTATTTTTAACCCAGATATATATAGTAAAAGCAGCGAGGTGGCATAGCAAGGTGATTTTTGGGCAGGGCGGGATTTGGAGGAAGGCTCTCCAGGGTGATTCTCAGTTATTTTCAAGTGGTTGCTCACACAGGAACGGGGTTGTTGCTCAGCCCCTGACCTGGTCAGTCCTTTTCCAGGAGCACAGAGGGAAGGAAGGGCAGCAGAGGGATGGTTTCCCTGCGAGGTCACTGGCACTGCTTTGGGCTCTGAGTCAGGCCAGGATGTGCTGCCTCTCCCATTCCATCCTCCCCAGACCACACCAGCTGGTGGGATGAGCATGGCTGGGGTAACAAAGACATGGAAAAGGTGCTGATGAGAAGGGCACTGATGGAATAAAAGGGTTTTCTTTCCTTTCATAAAATTCCAGGCTGGGTCTGACACAGTGGGTATTTTTTACCATCATGTTCTGACTAGTTCTGGGCACTGGGCAGGAATGGAACATGCAGTACCAGAGTCCAATTTCATTATTCATTGGAGAATTTCTGCCTAATATCTAATCTAAACCTATGCCCTTCCAGCTCAAAACCATTCCCTGTGTCCTATCCCTCCATCCCTTGTCCAAAGTCCCTCTCGAGCTCTCCTGGAGCCCCTTTAGGCTCTGGAAGGTGCTCTATAGATCACCCCAGAGACTTCTCTTCTCTAGGCTGAACATTCCTAACACTCTCGGCCTGTAAATGAAACTAAGCACTAACTAAAGACACTAATTTTTAAAAAGTTTTTATCTCTACGTAGTCTTCTAGAACATTACTACATAGAGAATCTGCATTACATTTTAAAAAGTAAATAGCTGTATTTAGAAAATATCATTTTTGTCCATCCAGACTGGGATGTGAAAGGGCTGCTGTCCCACACCAGGTTTGGAGAAAATGCTTTACACACTGTGAGACAAGCCATGCCTGTATGAAATACCACCAGCACTAATTAGCCCTGACTAATTTACCTTCCTCATATTGCTGTGACATCGCTGCTACGTTTATGCAGCAGATGGGGCTGCGGTGACTCAGCCTCTGCCACTTTTGGGGTTTTTTTGGAGAACTATCTAGAGCCAAGCCTCATTCTCTGGGAAACGTCCAAAGATAAAACACACATAGTCTGAAAAATTATTGTGTTTTCCCCAGGAGCTAAACCAAGTTCTCTTTCCTCAGTCTCTGAGGGACTTGGTGACTTCATTTTCACGCTTGGGAAAAGCATCTCCTGTCACAACTTTGACTTTTCTCAGCAAGTATCATGGAAAATTATAACAAGCTCTATCAACAATAAAGATGTCACAGAGTTAATTTCCAATCATTAAAAATGAGTAGGGACTACATGCAGGATCAGGGCAGTATGTGTATATTTATTTGTTTGTTTGTTTATATGCATACCCTAGAGAATTATTTTAGTAATGGCACAAAAGCATTATTTTCCAGGTAAAACTTCAGAAGTAGGAACAAAATTACTGTCCCCTCTGCTCTGCAAGTGTATCTCTCTATTGCTTTCAATACTGTTTATCTTATTTCATTAAAGATTTAAAGTTTCTGTAGCAGCTTTTTTTTTGCTAAAATTCTGGAAGACTGGAAGGAAGGGAAAAGTAATTCGCTGATTACTCTTAGCGAATGCAAAGTGTAGGGAGGGAAAAGATTTACGTGTAATTTTCGGCTCCATGATGCAAATAAATGCAAAGTGCAACGAGGGGAAGGATTAAACTTAATTTTTGACTCCATGATACGGGCAAATGCAAGCTTTATTGAGGGGAAGGATTAAACTATTAACTTCGGGCTCTGTGAGGGGACTAGGGGACTGAATGTAAGGTGAAGTGGGGTGAGCGATTCAGGGGTCAACTTTCGGCTCCGTGAGGGGAGTGAACGCCAAGCGTAGCGAGCGGAAGGATTAAACTGTTAACTGTCGGCTCCACGAGGGGAGCGAAAGGAAAGAGCAGTTGGGGGAAGGATTAAAATATTAACTTTGGTCCCTTCCCGGCAGCAGCGCAGGCGCAGGAAGCGCCCGTGCCGCCGCTCCTCCCCTCAGCCCCTCAGCGCCCAAGATGGCGGCGGCGCCGAGGCGGCCCCTCCTTCCCTCCCCGCGCCCGCGCTGCGTCACCGCTCCCGCCCTCTCCCTCCCCGCCGCCATTGGCCGCGGGGCGCGCGGGGCGCAGCCAATGGGCGGCGGCGCCCAGAGCGAGGCTGGCCCCGCTCCCCCCTCCCAGCCTCGCTCGCCCCGTCCCTTCCCCCGCTCGGCGGCACCGGCGCGTTCGGGCCGCCGGGACCGGCCCGGGCCCGCTCCGAACCGCCCGCTCCGGGCCCCGCTCCCGCCCGCCGCACCGCGCCCGGCCCCGCTCCGGGCCCCCACATCCGGCCCCGCAGCGGCGCACCCTCGCCCCGGCCCTTCCCGGCTCGCCGAGGCCGAGAGCGGGCCCGCCGGGCCCCCGGCGCGCTCGGGCCCGGGTGGAGGCGGAGGGGCCGCGCTCCTCCCTGGCCGCCCCCACCATGGCCGACAACGAGAAGCTGGACAACCAGCGCCTCAAGAACTTCAAGAACAAAGGCCGCGACCTGGAGGTGAGCGCGGCGGGGCCCGGCCCGCCCTGAGCCGCGGGGAGGCGGGAGCGGCGCTGCCGGGCGGGGAGGGAGGGCAGGCCGGGCCGGGAGGGAGGAAGGAGCCGCCGAGGCCGCGCTGCGGGCCGGGCGCGGCCGGGCCCGGGGGCGCTCGGATAGGGGCAGCGGCCGGCCAGGAGCAGCGGCCGGGCCTGGGGGTTCCCGGCCAGGAGCAGCGGCCGGGCCTGGGGGTTCCCGGCCGGGAGCAGCGGCCGGGCCCGCCCGGGTCGCTCCGCGGCCTCTCGGGCCCAGCAGCGGCCGCGGCTCCTCCCGGGTCGCGGCGCCCGCCGGGGCTCGGCCCGGCCCTGGCCCAGCGGCCCCGGTGCGGCGTGGGCTCGCCGGAATCGCTGCAGGAATGATCTCTGCGAGCGGCCCCGAAAAGCCTGAGTCAGGATTAGGGCCTGGCTGGGGGTTTTGCTGCGCGTCTCCAGGATACCTCATGAAATAAATAACGCCCTAACTTTCATAGCAAGATCATTAATGTTTTTTATAAACACTTTTTCTCTCTCTTTTTTTTTTTTTTTATATTTCTGTTTTCTGCTCAGATAGTTGAGAAGCCGTTTTGGCTCGTAGCACAGAGCCCCTGAACTTTTTGGTGGTTAAATTTGAGCTGTGAAGGTGCTTCCTAAACATAGCAGGATACATAATTAACTTGAGGTTTCGTCAGGAAATGGTCAAATTTTAAAACTAGGTATCAATCCTCACCTTTGAACACTCGGCCAGGAGTGCTGGTTGGAGCTTAAAATTGTCTGTTCAGGGTTCTGGACAAGAATTTTGGTGTTCTCATGGCTGCTTTTTACTGGCCTGAAAGTGTTCCTTGTGTTTTCCTTAATATTCCAGTCTTATATTTGAAGGCATTACAATGTTTCAAAAGTAAAAACTCCTTTATATTCCCTGTATTAATTTAAACATCAGCCAAGTTTCCCAGGAGTCTGTAACACCTGGCTTTTTAACCTGTCCAGGTAGATTGCTAAAACAGTTTATTACTCAGGTATGTCCAAACTTTTGGCAAAAATATTGGGAGTGGGAGTAATTAATTACTCTGTTTGCTAGCAGGTTTGTGAGGTAACCCCTTGCCTTAGATACTAATTAATTTTTATGTCAATTTTGTTACCACTGAATAGGCAGTTATAGGAAGGCATCTTTAGGATTGCACACAGTGAAAAATGGGATTTCTGAGTGCACACAGGCTGGAATTCAGGTGTTTTGGTGCAGCATTTTAGGGGAAAAGCGCTGAAGCAGGGAAGGTTCAAGATGGACACGCAGGTAACACCACGTGGGAGTGTGTCAGAAGCTCTTCAATCATTTTTTTTTATTTACTGCAGCACTGAAATGCCTTTTTCCACAGCCCAAACCCACTGCTGGGCCGTGTTAAATTTTAGAGAGTGACATTTATCCAGCAAATCCTGGAGCACATGCCTGCTCCCTAAAATAACCACGGTGCAGGGCTATTTTTCATACAATAGCTCAGGCTCCTGGCTGTCCCTGCTGCTCAGGAACTGCTTACACATCACCCTGCCCATCAGGCAGCCCCCAAAACCCACCTTGCAGGGCTGCTGGGGCTCAAATTGTGTATTTATTTGGCAGAGGAAGCCAACATTTGATCTTTATCTCCTTCACTCCTCCCCCTTTTTATCTGCGCCGAAATTCTCGTTGGCCCTGGGTTGTTTTTACAAAGCTATCATTTTTTAAAAATTTTCCATGAGCGTTTACCCCTAGAGAAATGAGAAATCACCCTAATTTTGGGGAGTGCCAAATGGAGGGATTTCTAGAGGTTGTGAGAGGTTGCCATGCTGTGAATTGCAAACTTCCTAAAAATGTTATCTCTTAATTCCATGTGCTCACATCAGCCCATTGACAGTTCCAGTTCCTGTCACACTGTCCTTGCCTTTCAGGTTTTACATATCCACAGGAAGTTCTTGTATTTCTGACCAAAATCAGGCAATTTCCTACATTTTATCCCCTAAAGTACCAAACTTTATTCACCTTTTTGGATATTTAATTTCTTTCCCCCAACATGCTTCTAAAACCACAAATTCTGGCCTGGAAAAAAGAGGGGGAAAAAAGAAAACAACCCCCAACACAAGCACCTGTTTTCCATAAGATATTTGACAAAATTCCTTCATGTGCTGAAGTCTTGGGCAAACATTTCCTGCAGGGGCACGTTGTGAATCATTGCTGCCATGTGTTTGGGGTGACAGATTGCTGTGACCATGGGAATTGAGGGATTCTCATGGGAATTGAGGGCTTCTCTGGGAATTGAGGGGTTCTCTGGGAATTGAGGGGTTCTCTGGGAATTGAGGGATTCTCATGGGAATTGAGGGGTTCTCATGGGAATTGAGGGATTCATGGGAATTGAGGGATTCATGGGAATTGAGGGGTTCTCATGGGAATTGAGGGATTCTCATGGGAATTGAGGGATTCATGGGAATTGAGGGGTTCTCATGGGAATTGAGGGATTCATGGGAATTGAGGGATTCATGGGAATTGAGGGATTCTCATGGGAATTGAGGGGTTCTCTGGGAATTGAGGGATTCTCATGGGAATTGAGGGATTCTCATGGGAATTGAGGGGTTCTCTGGGAATTGAGGGGTTCTCTGGGAATTGAGGGATTCCTGGGAATTGAGGGATTCTCTGGGAGCAGCAATCTCCAGGAAATCCTTGTCCTGCCCAAAGGAATACACGCTGTAATAAAGTTTGTAATAGAGGCAGAGCAGTCATTTGGAGCTGAGGCATCTCTGGGGGGAATTGAGAATTTCTGGTCAGGGCTTGCTGCATTTTTGTAGAGTCTTCAAGATTTTACTGTGGGGGGAAAATAGAATTGATCCAGCACAAAGAGGAGCCTTACAAACTGCAGAAGTGGCCACGGTGTTTAACCTCCAAGCCCAAAGCCTGACTGGAATTAGGGCTTATCTGGACTCTGATATTAAATTATGCAAATACTGATCCATTAGGGAGCAGGGTAAGGTGACTTTTTTCATCTTCAGTGAGGAACAGGTTTTGCTTGGGGTTTTTTTCCCCTTGGATGAGAAGGGTTGAGCTGGTTTTTACTGGTTATTGTGGGGATGGATCTGTGCTGACACCCATCTGCTTTGTTTTTAATGGTGATACCACAGATCTTGGAATTAAATACAGATCTTCACTGTACAAAAGCCAAATAAATCCAAATTGATCATTGTGGCTGTGCTAGAGTTTTATGGACAAATTTAAAAATAATGCCTTTTTAGTCCTGCATTTAAAGGTCTTGATTTGGGAAGGTTTGCAGAGTTTTGGGGTGTTTCATTTGCTTCATTTTCTTTCACCTGGTGATTGAACCTTTCATTTTCTCTTGGTGATTGTTGCCTGCTGCAGCATTGCAATCTGATTGACATTTAGAGGGGTTTTTTTGAAATGAAATAAGAAATATTTCCTGCATTTTATTTCTGTGGAAATCTTGGAAGAATGTGCTGAACCTTTCCTGCCCTGCCTCACCTGTGTTGCAGGGCAGGAGATGAAGGATTGCTTGACCACAGGAGAGGTGTAAATTGAGATTTCTGCTCTGCAATTGAGAGATGCATAAAGGGAAATGATGATGATAATTTTGTGATGCAGAGCACTTCAAAACTAATTTTGGAGCAGCCATTGCATCAAGATGCCTGAAGATCAGTAATGTCAGGATTTTAAGAGTTGCCAGCATCATTCACTGGACTTCAAAAATCCCAATATTTTTTGAGAACACCAAAGAAGCTCCAGGGGAGTGAGGGAAAGGTGGTGATGGGAGATATTTTGAATATTGCAGGTGCTTTGAAGCTTTTCAGCCCTTTCTGTATCCCACACAAAATAGTCTGCTTGGGATTAAATATGGAAGAACTGAAGGAGAGCAGGAATTTCACTCAGTGAGATAAAAATAGGCTCCTTTAAGCTGACTTGGAGTTCTGTGGTGAAGCTCATCCATCTTGTCACTTCCAAATGATACTGAGATATTTGTTTGAGGCATTTTCTCAGCCATGCCCAGCTCCTCCAGGAAAAATGGGCCTGGTGGCACATGTAATGTCATATTGATTTTTATTTTTTATCTGGAGCTCAGACTCCCATTTCCATTCTGAAGCTGCTGAGATGTGACCTCTGGGGGTATCTTGGCTTGGCTTTATGATCCCAAAGCATTTTTATCAGTGGTCTCTGGAGCAGATTTCATTGCTGCACTTTGAATTGAGATAGGATTTGTATAGGAGGGGGGTAATGGGTGGAGGAGGGCCTGAATCACTGGCTGTAACTGAGGAAAAGCAGTCTGGTTTCAGCTCTCTGTTCCCTGTGGGGTGTGTTTTGTTTTTATTTGCAGTCCCAGAGCACACTGGTGCTGCTTGCAACTTCCTGGGAAGGAAGGAAGGAAGGATGGCACAAGCAGCTCATTTTTTATTTACAATAACTGTTGACTTTGCAGTTCCCCAGCAGAAACAATGTGCCCTTGGAAACCATTCCCTGGGCTGAGAGCAGCAGCCAAAGTTCTACAGTTACTCCTGGGCTGCAAGTGTGGAAATGGAGTGGAACATTTTATAACAGCAAAAAAGCCAGCCCAGGCAGGAGGGAGCACAGGCTGGGGTCCTGATCCCTTCAGGGAGGGGTCCCCATTGCAGGGTCTCCATTGCGGGGTCCCCATTGCAGGGTCCCCATTGCAGGGTCCCCATTGCGGGGTCCCCATTGCGGGGTCCCCATTGCAGGGTCCCCATTGCGGGGTCCCCATTGCGGGGTCCCCATTGCGGGGTCCCCATTGCGGGGTCCCCCCCCCCATTGCAGGATCCCATTGCAGGGTCCCATTGCAGGGTCCCATTCCAGGGTCCCATTCCAGGATCCCCATTCCGGGATCCCCGTTCCTGGATCCCATTCCAGGGTCCCATTCCTGGATCCCTGTTCCAGGGTCCCATTCCAGGATCTCATTCCAGGGTCCCATTCCTGGTGTGTTTAGGAAGAGCTGCTGCATCCCAGCTCCTTGAAAGCCCTCAGGATGCTGCAGGCATCACTACCAGGAGATTTTAATGATGAGCTGAAGGGCTCAGTCATGACTAATGGTCAGAAATAGCCCTTATGATAAATCTGAAGCTTAATATAATTGAAAAAAGGAGGATGGAGGGGTGGCCACGGCAGGGTGACAGAAATAGATCGGATCATTTGATTTTTGATGTCCAAATGACAAACAGGATCCAGAGCCTGGGAGAGCCACGTGAATTGCTCACAGAGTGGGCCATGTTCTCAGCTGGAGCCCTTGCCAGGCCTCTCTGGGCTGGCTGTGAAGCCCTTTCTGGCCACAGTGGTTTCCTGTGCTGTGGGAGCTGATTCACAGAGCTCAGAGGAATCACTCCCACCATGGTGCCAGGGCACCCCCATCCCTCATCCCTGCTCTGAGCTGCTCCCCAAGAGCTGCACAAATCCCGCTGGGCTCTGCTGGGCATTTTCCTTTCTCCAGACTCTCCCATCTCCAGCTGGGCTGGTGGCACTGGGGAATCCCGTGGCACAGCTGATCTCAGTTCCCGTTTGTTCCTCTTCCTCCTCCTCAGAGGATGAGCAGTGCCAGGCTGGCCTGTAACCATTCTGTGTACACACAGAGTGATTCTGGTGCAGCCAGGCTTTGGGAAATCGTGCTTCAGGGTGACTCCCCTGCTGGCTTCTCTTTCACGTGAAGGTTTTGTGATGCCAAGGTGTGCAGGCAGGGATTCAGCAAGGGGCAGCATCCTCCTTGTCCCAGCAGAGGATCCTCCAAAGTCTGCTCACCTGCAGACAGGAATTTTTACTTAAAGACTTTTCTAAATATTACAGACTTTTCTAAATATTACAGACTTTTCTAAATGACACATCTGAGGATTTTTTATTGCAATATCTGTTCTGATCCCACTCAATTCTGTCTCTGTCACCACCAGCTTTGCTGTGAGCAGCAGGGTCACCCCTGGGGTCTGGGAAGAGCCTCCCCTCTCCCAGGCAGTTTTTGGGTGGGAATGCTGATTTTGCTGGTCCTTTGGGAAGGTGTTAAAGCCCTGTGAGATCATCAGGGGCGTGGTGCAGTTCTGCAATCTGATTATCAGAGCCTTTCCTCACATTGATGTGCCAGATCAGTGGAGTTTGGAGAAACTCCCCAGAGCATTTGGGAGCCTGGAGTACCTGAGGCAGGTGGAAGCTGCAGCAAAGCCTGGAAGGGCTGGGTGGGATCCAGCAGGGGCTCAGCTTCTCCTGGAGCTCAGAGAACAGGCCTGGAGAGATTCCTGCCTTCCCTCTGCCCCTCAGAGACATCCCTGGAGTGATTCCTCCTTCCCTCTGCTCCTCAGAGACATCCCTGGAGTGATTCCTCCTTCCCTCTGCTCCTCAGAGACATTCCTGGAGTGATTCCTCCTTCCCTGTGCCCCTCAGAGACATCCCTGGAGAGATTCCTCCTTCCCTGTGCCCCTCAGAGACATCCCTGGAGTGATTCCTCCTTCCCTCTGCTCCTCAGAAACATCCCTGGAGAGATTCCTCCTTCCCTGTGCCCCTCAGAGACATCCCTGGAGTGATTCCTCCTTCCCTCTGCTCCTCAGAAACATCCCTGGAGAGATTCCTCCTTCCCTCTGCCCCTCAGAGACATCCCTGGAGAGATTCCTGCCTTCCCTGTGCTCCTCAGAGACATCCCTGGAGTGATTCCTCCTTCCCTCTGCTCCTCAGAGACATCCCTGGAGTGATTCCTCCTTCCCTCTGCTCCTCAGAGACATCCCTGGAGTGATTCCTCCTTCCCTCTGCTCCTCAGAGACATCCCTGGAGTGATTCCTCCTTCCCTCTGCTCCTCAGAGACATCCCTGGAGTGATTCCTCCTTCCCTCTGCTCCTCAGAGACATCCCTGGAGTGATTCCTGCCTTCCCTCTGCCCCTCAGAGACATCCCTGGAGTGATTCCTCCTTCCCTCTGCCCCTCAGAGACATCCCTGGAGAGATTCCTCCTTCCCTGTGCCCCTCAGAGACATCCCTGGAGTGATTCCTCCTTCCCTCTGCTCCTCAGAGACATCCCTGGAGAGATTCCTTCTTCCCTCTGCCCCTCAGAGACATCCCTGGAGTGATTCCTGCCTTCCCTCTGCCCCTCAGAGACATCCCTGGAGTGATTCCTCCTTCCCTCTGCCCCTCAGAGACATCCCTGGAGTGATTCCTCCTTCCCTCTGCTCCTCAGAGACATCCCTGGAGTGATTCCTCCTTCCCTCTGCCCCTCAGAGACATCCCTGGAGTGATTCCTCCTTCCCTCTGCCCCTCAGAGACATCCCTGGAGTGATTCCTCCTTCCCTCTGCCCCTCAGAGACATCCCTGGAGTGATTCCTCCTTCCCTCTGCTCCTCAGAGACATCCCTGGAGTGATTCCTCCTTCCCTGTGCTCCTCAGAGACATCCCTGGAGAGATTCCTTCTTCCCTGTGCCCCTCAGAGACATCCCTGGAGTGATTCCTCCTTCCCTGTGCTCCTCAGAGACATCCCTGGAGTGATTCCTCCTTCCCTGTGCTCCTCAGAGACATCCCTGGAGTGATTCCTGCCTTCCCTGTGCTCCTCAGAGACATCCCTGGAGTGATTCCTCCTTCCCTGTGCTCCTCAGAGACATCCCTGGAGTGATTCCTCCTTCCCTGTGCTCCTCAGAGACATCCCTGGAGTGATTCCTGCCTTCCCTGTGCTCCTCAGAGACATCCCTGGAGTGATTCCTCCTTCCCTGTGCTCCTCAGAGACATCCCTGGAGTGATTCCTCCTTCCCTGTGCTCCTCAGAGCTGCATCCATTGTCCTGAGAGCTGTGGGATATCAGCACAGCCCTGAGGATCTCCCAGGCCTTTAACACCTTCCCAAAGCACAGGGCAGCAAAATCAAGCTCTGTTTTGGGTGGGAATGCTGATTTTGGGAGAGGGCTGGCTCTCCCAGACCCCAGGGGTGACCCTGCTGCTCCCAGCAGAGCTGCTGCTGACACAGAGAATTGAGTGGGACCAAAACAAATATTACCAAAAAAAACCCCTCATCTCCTCTATTCTGGTATTCTGGCTCTCCAGGTTGCTGCAGCTGCCCTGGCCCTTTGCCTTTCCCTGGGGCAGGTTGGATTTTCCCCTCAGCCCCCAGAGCAGCAGGAACCATCCCTGCCTTGCCCCTTTTTCCTCTCCTTCCCCTTTTTCTCTGGGGAGCTGCAGTGTCACGCTCTACTGAAATTTGATTTGATGAACTGCACCTTCTTTTTGATAAGAATAATGAAGAAAAACGCTTTGAAAGTCAGGTTTTAATGCTTATCTTCACGTCTCCTTGCTGTTCAGGAGGTTCTTTTTCCTTCTGTCCAGCTTTCCCTGGGCTTGTCACAATAAAAATGGAATTGTTTGGAATTTTGCTGTTCTCATTCACTGTAGAGTTCAAAGTGTTCAAATAAAATCACTCCAGACTGATTTATTTCTGTTTTCTCTGCAGTAACACAAGCAGCAATAAATCAATTTATGCATATTTACAATTGTTGTTTTACCCTGAGCACTGTCAATGGCAGCTGTAGAGAAAATGACAAAAATACTGCTCTTAGAATGTCAAAGGTTCTGATTTATAAATAACAGCTCTGGAACTCAGCTTTGCTTGCAGCTCTCTTAATTTGAGCTTCTTTATTAAGTTATTTTACTGTTAGATTGCCATGGTCCTTTTAATGCTTTTGGTGCTGTTTTGTGCACAACTGCTTTCCATTTTGCCCTTTGAAAAATATGGTTTTATTCCTAATTCCTTTTTTCCTCAACATGAAGACTTAGGAGAATGTTTTAGTATGAAATAACATAAATATTGTAGTTATTTCCATTTCCTGTAGGATCTCTACTTTTATCATGAAAATTGAACCCTGTGTGGAACTGAAATACTTGTACAAGAACTTTTTGAATTGATCTAAATTCAGATTATAATTATTTTTATCTTTATTCTTTCCAGACTATGAGAAGACAAAGAAATGAAGTTGTCGTGGAGTTGAGAAAGGTGAGATGACCCAGAGTTTTTATTCTTTTATTTTATAAAATTTTTCTCACCAAGTGGGATTTGACTTTGTTGTTACTCTGATTAAATGTAAGAGTTTTCATTAAAGACTCAAAAGTTCTGGAGTTCTGGGAGTTCCACAACTTTTGTCCTGCAAACCAGGAGTTTATTTGTAACCTAATTCAGGGACTCCTCCTTGCACTTCTAGAGGTTTTTAAAGATTTGGTTTTTCCTTTAAAAATCAGCAGAAAATTATTTCCTTACAGTTAAATGTGGAAGAGTGTGAATGTAAAACTGGAATTGTTAGGGAAAAGGAATCACAACTGGAATTATTTTTTTTCTGAGCTGAACAGAAAACCTCTGGGAATTTCTGTGTCCTGATAGAAATGATGACAAATAACAAACGAAATGGAATGTTGGTGGACATGTGCACATCAGACTTCCAGCACAAGTTGGATGCAGGATTTTTCTAGGAAGAATTCCCAAAATGTGCTTCTCTGGGCACTCCTTTTCAACTGTATATGGAAAATTTAAGTGTCAGTGCTGGGGTATTTGTGATTGTTTGAAACACAAGAACACCCCACTCCCCCTAAATCCAAGTTTTAAAGGTATTCCACCATTTTTCTCTTTAAGAACAAAAGAGATGAGCATCTCCTAAAGAGGAGGAATGTTCCCCACGAAGATATCTGTGAGGATTCTGATATTGATGGGGACTTCAGAGTGGTAAGAGTTAACTTGCAATAATTTCTTCTTTTTGCATCCTTAAAAGACATTTGGAATTTCTGACTGCTTCTTGTCTCTGTTTTCCAGCAAAACACTTCTTTGGAGGCCATAGTACAGGTAAAAACCATTACATTGTTTGAATATTCTTCATGGCATGATGACAGATGTGTGAAAAATGTATTTTCTCTTATTTTAGAATGCTTCAAGTGACAACCAGGGTATTCAGTTAAGTGCTGTGCAGGCAGCAAGGTAAGAACACACTTTGCTCAAATATCCTGATTTTAGTCTTATTTTATCATGTTCCTAATGTCAGAAAATGTGTTCTAGCTTAACTGAAATTGTAATAGTGAAGTGATTTTTAAAAGGGAAATAGAACTTTAAAGAAATCAGAATACACAGACCTTTTAAGTAGTGTGGATTTTATTTACATGTAAATACCTGGATTTATTTTGGTGCAAGCTTGATGAGTAAAATACACACTTTAAAGGACTGTCAGATCTTTGGCTTTAAGTGCAGACAGAGCTGAGTGTCTCCTTTTGTAGGAGTTGGAGCAGAATAACTCTTATCTTTTATTTTCCTGACTGGTGATAAACTTCCAGAGGGGACAAAGCATGGAATGAAATGGATATAATGGCCTTACTTTTCCAGTGGCTCAATAATTTCACTTTGGGGGGTTATTTTCACTTAAAAAGGGGGCAACAAATCCTGTGGGTCTGTGGGAGGAGGAGGGAAACCCTTGGGAAGGAATTCCCAGCCCAGCAGGAGCAGTTTGGTTGTTGGAGATGCCAAACATTGGAATTGCCCAAACTCCATCTCCATTGGAGATTCCCAAACTCAGCCACAGGGAGCCTTTACTGACCTGCTCCAGTGGCAGCACTGATCCCTTTTTGAGGGGAAAGTTGGATTAAACAATTCCCTGCTCCTTTCCAGGCAGGATTTGTCAGTAATTTGGATTTTTGTCCACTTTCCTGCAGGAAGCTGCTGTCCAGTGACCGCAACCCACCCATCGACGACCTCATCAAATCAGGAATATTGCCTATCCTAGTGCACTGTCTTGAAAGAGATGACAAGTGAGTGCTGCCAGAACTCAAAATATTCACCAATTCCTGCTGTCCAGCTGCTGTGCCAGCTCTGAGTGCTGACACCTGTGCTTGTTCTCTGTCTGCAGTCCTTCCTTACAGTTTGAAGCTGCGTGGGCCCTGACAAACATTGCCTCTGGAACCTCGGAGCAAACCCAGGCTGTGGTTCAATCCAGTGAGTGCTGCAGGGGGAGCTGCCATCCACAGCTGGGGTTTGGCTGGGATCAGGTTTGGGATCAGGTTTGGGATCAGATTTGGGATCAGGTTGGAATCAGGTTTGGGATCAGGGTTGGGATCAGGTTTGGGATCAGGTTTGGGATCGGGATCAGTTTGGGATCAGGTTTGGGATCAGGTTTGGGATCAGGTTGGGATCAGGTTGGGATCAGGTTTGGGATCAGGTTTGGGGTCAGGTTTGGGATCAGGGTTGGGATCAGGTTTGGGATCAGGTTTGGGATCAGGTTTGGGATCAGGTTTGGGATCAGATTTGGGATCAGGTTGGGATCAGGTTGGGATCAGGTTTGGGATCAGGGTTGGGATCAGGATCAGGTTTGGGATCAGGGTTGGGATCAGGTTTGGGATCAGGATCAGGTTTGGGATCAAGGTTGGGATCAGGTTGGAATCAGGTTTGGGATCAGGTTTGAATCAGGTTTGGGATCAGGTTGGAATCAGGTTTGGGATCAGGTTTGGGATCAGGATCAGGTTTGGGATCAGGTTTGGGATCAAGGTTGGGATCAGGTTGGAATCAGGTTTGGGATCAGGTTTGAATCAGGTTGGAATCAGGTTTGGGATCAGTTTGGGATCAGGTTTGGGATCAGGTTGGGATCAGGTTGGAATCAGGTTGGGATCAGGTTGGAATCAGGTTTGGGATCAGGTTTGGGATCCGATTTGGATCAGGTTTGGGATCAGGGTTGGGATCCAGTTGGGATCAGTTTGGGATCAGTTTGGGGTCAGGTTGTCAATCAGTGCCCTGAAGGAGCTGTGCCAGCTGTTCACCTCACACACCCGGTTTTGCCTTCATTTCCTCAGGGTTTAAACCCACTTGGGTTTCCTCATGGTGAGCAACAGCTGGAAACTCAAAATATCTTAGCAGAGTCGATATCTGCTGGCTTCCAATTTTCAAACTGGAAAACAAAATCACCAAAAACCTTGGAATAAACCAAACAACCCCTCTGAAAAGCTCCCTGTTGTGAAGAGGGAAGAATATTCACAGATCAGAGGGTGCCTGAACTCTTCCAAAATTAAGTTGAATTAGAAAATCTGTCCTTCCTATTTTGGGGCATCTGAAACCTGAGAAGGAATTGTTGTTGGAATCTGAGCTACCAGGCAAATCAAACTTTGTTCTGGACTCCACACACATCCTGAAGCAGAGCTTCTGTTGCTAAATCAGAGCTAAGTGGGCAGGGTTTAACTGAGTGAACAAACCAGAGCTTCTTGAAGAGTCAAAGATACAGTGAAATCAGTTGTTCTTAAAATTTAAGGAAAAAAATACACACAAATTATGTTGGCTGCAGGATCAGTTGCTTCTATTTTTGCAAACTTGGTTAAGAGCCTGTGAATTTCAATATAATTTGATTTTCACTCTTACAGGATGTAGTTTTGGTAATACCTTTATCTTTTTCTCCATCCTGTTCCTTTCCCAGTTGCAACCTGAATTTTCTTTGGGAAATCTAATTAATAGATAATCTATCCCACCCCTGATCTAGAACACTTTAACTCTAATTTATCAGTGGATTGAGCACTTTTTCAGTGATTTCTGTAGGTCTGTATTGCACCCTGTTAGTCAGTTTAATAGCTGTGACATATGAAATTATTATTTATTTCAATTTAAAATGATTTTTTGTAATTTTACCATAAGAATTTATTAATCTCTTTACTGGAGATGTTTTTTCTCCCTGCATGCAGACACTGTAAATACCTTCATTTACAGGAAATAACAATCCTGCTGATTAGTTGTTTCTCTAGTAAACACATGATTTACATGAAGAAAAAAATCTATCTAAAAATTCCAAATTTCTCTTGAAATTCATGAAATAAATGGGTTCCTTACAGACTGGGCTGTTATGTAAGCAAGCACCTCAGTGCTGGGGGAGAATAAAACAGAATTAATTATGGAAATGTGGATTTCTTTCCTGCCCTCTTCCCACATTCCCTCTCCTTAATTCCCACTCCATTCCTGCTTTATTCTCCAGTTGCTTCATTGGGGTTTGGTCTCTGTTGTTCCTTTGCACTTGGGGCTGCTGCATAACTCAGCAGAGAATTTCTGAATTCAATAAATGGAGCTAAATTTGGATCCTCCAAGCTTCAGTAAACTCGAGACTTAAACCAATGAAATGTCAGGGTTTAATATTCTCAGGTGCAGGCTCTGTCAGGATGTGCAGCCCAGGAGGAACCATTGCAGTGTTTTATTCAGCATCACCTGGGAAATCAGAGAGGCTCTGACCAGTTCTGAACAGGAAAATAAAGTCTCATGGGAGAGTTTTTGCTTTTTAGAGATGCAATTTTAACCATTTCCTGGGTTATTTCTGTACTTTTCAGATGCTGTGCCGCTTTTCCTGAGACTGCTGCATTCACCTCATCAAAATGTTTGTGAGCAAGCAGTGTGGGCTTTAGGGAATATCATAGGTGGGTGTTCCTCCTGCCACCACCCTCTGGGGCTGTTTTATTGTTATTATTATTTACTGTTACTCCTGCCACCACCAACTTCTGGGGATGTTTTATTTTTATTTTTATTATTATTATTATTATTATTATTATTTATTGTTACTCCTGCCACCACCAACTTCTGGGGATGTTTTATTTTTTTTTTATTATTATTATTGTTAGTAGTAGTAGTAGTAGTAGTGGTATTATTATTAATATTATAAATATTATTATTATTGTTACTCCTGCCACCAGCACCCTCTGGGGCTATTTCTTTATTATTTATTTATAGTATTATTATTTGTTATTTTGTTGTTGTTATTATTCCTGCCACCATCAACTTCTGGGGATGATGATGATTATTATTATTATTATTGGGGTGTTTATTATTATTATTACTACTACTACTCCTGCTACCAACAACTTCTGGGGATGTTTTATTTTATTATTGTTACTCCTGCCACCATCACCCTCTGGGGCTGTTTTATTATTATAGTATTATTATTATTGTTACTCCTGCCACTACCAACTTCTGGGGATTATTATTGCTATTATTATTATTATTATTATTATTATTATTATTATTATTATTATTATCACCATCATCAACTTCTGGGAGTCGTTTTTATTGTTTAGAAATTTTGTCAAGGAATTTTCAGGAATATTTTGGGCTCTCACAGCTCTTGGTGGTTTGGTGTTGTCTGCCACCCCTTTCCCTTACCCAGCACCATAAATCTGTAAATGCTGGGATGTTTTCTAGTAAAACCTCTAAATGATGGCATGGATGGTTTTTGTTAAAATTTGTAGATGATAGAATGTTTTCTGGTAAAATCTGTGAATGATGGGATGGGTGTTTTCTGATAAAATCTCTAAATGCTTGCATGTTTTTTGGTAAAATCTCTAAATTTTAACAGAATAGAAGTCTGTAAGCAATGGGATGGATTTTTCTGGTAAAATCTCTAAATGATGAGATGGATATTTTCTGGTAAAATATCTAAATGATGGGATGGATGTTTTCTGATAAAATCTGTGCATTTTAACAGAATAGAAATCTGTAAAAATGGGATAGATGTTTGCTGTTAAAATCTCTAAGCAGTGGGATGTTTTCTGTTAAAATCTCTAAATTTTAACAACAGAAATCTGTAAGCAATGGGATAGATATTTGCTGGTAAAATCTGTAAATGCTGGGATGTTTTCTGATAAAGTCTGTAAATGCTGGGATGCTTTCTCATAAAATCTCTAAATTTTAACAGAACAGAAATCTGTAAGCAATGGGATGGATGTTTTCTGTTAAAATCTGTAAATGCTGGGATGTTTTCTGGTAAAATCTCTAAATTTAAATAGAATAGAAGTCTGTAAACAGTGGGGTGTAAATGATGTAAACAGTATAGAAATGCTGGGATGTTTTTAGTAAAATCTGTAAATTTTAACAGAACAGAAATCTGTAAATGATGGGATGGATGATGGGAAAAATCTGTAAATGCTGGGATGCTTTCTGGTAAAATCTCTAAATTTTAATGGAATAGAAATCTGTAAGCAATGGGATGGATGTTTTCTGGTAAAATCTGTTAATGCTGGGATGTTTTCTGGTAAAATCTTTAAATTTTAACAACAGAAATCTGTAAACAATGAGATATTTGCTGGTGAAATCTGTAAGTGCTGGGATGTTTTCTGATAAAATCTGTAAATGCTGGGATGCTTTCTGGTAAAATCTCTACATTTTAATGGAATAGAAATCTGTAAGCAATGGGATAATGTTTGCTGTTAAAATATGTAAGCAGTGGGATGTTTTCTGTTCAAATCAGTAAATGCTGGGGTGTTTTTTGTTAAAAATCTGTAAATGTTGGGATATTTTCTGGTAAAATCTGTAAGTGCTGGGATATTTTCTGATAAAATCTGTAAGTGCTGGGATGTTTTCTGATAAAATCTGTAAGTTCTGGGATATTTTCTGGTAAAATCTGTAAGTGCTGGGATATTTTCTGGTAAAATCTGTAAGTGCTGGGATATTTTCTGGTAAAATCTGTAAGTGCTGGGATATTTTCTGGTAAAATCTGTAAGTGCTGGGATATTTTCTGGTAAAATCTGTAAGTGCTGGGATGTTTTCTGATAAAGTCTGTAAGTGCTGGGATATTTTCTGATAAAATCAGTTCATGCTGGGATGTTTTGTGTTCCAACCCCCTGCTCGTGTCCCGCAGGTGACGGACCCCAGTGCAGAGATTACGTCATTAGCCTTGGAGTAGTGAAGCCCCTGCTGTCCTTCATCAGCCCCTCCATCCCCATCACCTTCCTCAGGAACGTCACCTGGGTGATGGTGAACCTGTGCCGCCACAAGGACCCCCCTCCCCCCATGGAGACCATCCAGGAGGTGCTGCAGGGGGGCTGCAGGGCTGGGGTGAGGTTTGGGGGGGCTTTGCTGGCTCCACAATAACCCCCAGGTTTGTGTTTGTTCCCCCTCAGATCCTGCCAGCGCTCTGTGTGCTCATCCACCACACCGATGTAAATGTGAGTCACCCCCCCCTAAAGCCACTTGCAGCTTCTGCTCTGGTTTTTGAGCTGAAATATTAAATAAAATTAAAATTATGATGTTCCCTTGGATTAGGACAAGCTGCTGTTGATATCTTTAAACTGCTTCTTTTAAAATACTGATGTTATTTTTAAATAGTGATGTTTTTTCCCCTAGTATTTCTGTCTTTGCAAGTGTTTATTTGCATGGACTTTCCCTGCCCTTATGACTGAAACTGCTTTCTATTTTTATTCCTGTGAGCATTCATTCACAGAGAAATACTGAAGTTTTTTTGCCTAGCACTTTCATTTGTAATGAAAATCAGTGTGAATGAAAGGAAAACCAGTGTCTGCTGCACATGTCAAATGTCAGGGTTAGCTGTGACTTCTGAGGTGTCAAATATGAAATTATTATTTAAAAGTGAAGTAAATGAGCAAAAGTTCATTGAAATTATGAATGAGTCAGCTTTTTGTCTGAACATAAAAAATCAGAATTTAAGATTAATTCTTTGCTTCCAAAAGAAATTGTAGCTGAGTTAATGGCAACAGTGCTCTGCAAAAAATATGTCTGTATTAACTTTGCTATTCCTATAGTAACTATGTGATTTAATAGCAATTATGTGATTTAATTTCTGGTCTCTGAGGAGGTGAAATTAAGTTTATTAGAATTTTGGAAATTCCTGTATTGGTGAGCCAGTTAAGAGCTGTCAGCTGAAACAACACTCACTGAATGTTTTTGCCAGCTGTCAGTTGAAATATTCACATTTCCTGCTGCTTAAACTGGCTTTTCTGCATGTGCATGCACACAGATATTGATTCCAGTTAATTGTCAGGGTATCCATAACTGTCCATGATTGGGATCAGTGTGTGAGATATCAATTCAGATTAATTCAGTGTATAAATGCCCATGCTTTGGATCAGTGTGTGTGATATCAATTCAGATTAATTCAGTGTAAATGCCCATGCTTTGGATCAGTGTGTGTGATATTAATTCAGTGTAAATGCCCATGCTTTGGATCAGTGTGTGTGATATCAATTCAGATTAATTCAGTGTATAAATGCCCATGATTTGGATCAGTGTGTGTGATATTAATTCAGTGTATAAATGCCCATGATTTGGATCAGTGTGTGTGATATCAATTCAGATTAATTCAGTATAAATGCCCATGATTTGGATCAGTGTGTGTGATATTAATTCAGTATAAATGCCCATGGTTTGGATCAGTGTGTGTGATATTAATTCAGTGTAAATGTCCATGCTTTGGATCAGTGTGTGTGATATCAATTCAGATTAATTCAGTGTAAATGTCCATGATTTGGATCAGTGTGTGTGATATCAATTCAGATTAATTCAGGATAAATGCCCATGCTTTGGATCAGTGTGTGTGATACCAATTCAGATTAATTCAGGATAAATGCCCATGCTTTGGATCAGTGTGTGTGATATTAATTCAGTGTAAATGTCCATGCTTTGGATCAGTGTGTGTGATATTAATTCAGTGTAAATGCCCATGGTTTGGATCAGTGTGTGTGATATTAATTCAGTGTAAATGTCCATGCTTTGGATCAGTGTGTGTGATATCAATTCAGATTAATTCAGTGTAAATGTCCATGCTTTGGATCAGTGTGTGTGATACCAATTCAGATTAATTCAGTGTAAATGTCCATGATTTGGATCAGTGTGTGTGATATCAATTCAGATTAATTCAGTGTAAATGCCCATGCTTTGGATCAGTGTGTGTGATATCAATTCAGATTAATTCAGTGTAAATGTCCATGGTTTGGATCAGTGTGTGTGATATCAATTCAGATTAATTCAGTGTAAATGTCCATGGTTTGGATCAGTGTGTGTGATATCAATTCAGATTAATTCAGTGTAAATGCCCATGCTTTGGATCAGTGTGTGTTATATCAATTCAGATTAATTCAGTGTAAATGCCCATGCTTTGGATCAGTGTGTGTGATATTAATTCAGTGTAAATGTCCATGCTTTGGATCAGTGTGTGTGATATCAATTCAGATTAATTCAGGATAAATGCCCATGATTTGGATCAGTGTGTGCTGCTCTCTCCTGTCAGATATTGGTAGACACAGTCTGGGCCCTCTCCTATCTGACGGATGCTGGCAACGAGCAGATCCAGATGGTGATAGACTCTGGCATTGTCCCTCACCTGGTTCCTCTCCTCAGCCACCAGGAAGTCAAAGTCCAGGTGAGTTTGGGTCACACAGAGCAGGTGACCCCAAATCTGCTACTGCACAAAATCCTTCCTTTCTATAACTCACATTGAAAATAAATATTCTTTTCCTGTGTGCTGCAGCATTTGCGTAAAACCTTTCTCTTTGCTGCAGAGCTTGTTTTGAGAGGAAATGTTTGCTTGTGTTTCAGACTGCTGCACTGAGGGCTGTGGGGAACATCGTCACTGGCACCGACGAGCAGACACAGGTGGTTCTCAACTGTGAAGCTCTCTCACATTTCCCAGCACTTCTGACACATCCCAAAGAAAAAATTAATAAGGTGAGCAGCGCCAGGGACTTTACCTGATGGAGAACTTTTATATTTGCCTGAGCTGGGGCTCCACTTTGTGTAGTGTCATAAAGATGTGAATAATTGACTCCTTCCACCAGAATGTGGCAAATTTCAGCAAATACTGATTTTTATTCTGGAAATTAAGATCCATAGGGAAGGAATTGAATGACTATCCAGAGGGAAGGAATTGAATGACTATCCAGAGGGAAGGAATTGAATGAATATCCAGAGGGAAGGAATTGAATGACTATCCATAGGGAAGGAATTGAAAGAATATCATAGGGAAGGAATTGAAAGAATATCCATAGGGAAGGAATTGAATGAATATCCAGAGGGAAGGAATTGAATGAATATCCATAGGGAAGGAATTGAATGACTATCCAGAGGGAAGGAATTGAAGGAATATCCAGAGGGAAGGAGTTGAAGGAATATCCAGAGGGAAGGAATTGAAAGAATATCATAGGGAAGGAATTGAATGAATATCCAGAGGGAAGGAATTGAATGAATATCCATAGGGAAGGAATTGAAGGAATATCCAGAGGGAAGGAATTGAATGACTATCCATAGGGAAGGAATTGAAGGAATATCCAGAGGGAAGGAATTGAAGGAATATCCATAGGGAAGGAATTGAAGGAATATCCAGAGGGAAGGAATTGAAGGAATATCCAGAGGGAAGGACAGGAATGTCAGTGTTTGTAGGAAATCAAAGCTTGCCATCACCAGCCTGGCTGTTGCCTTGTGCAGGAGTTGTCAGTACCTGAAATGTCCCCCTGCTGGGTTGCCCTGACTCTGAGAGGTGATGACGCAGAGACAGTGGGCTGTGCGTGCATGGGCTGTGTGTGCCTGGGCTGTGTGTGCATGGGCTGTGTGTGCTGTGGGGGGCTCTCCTGGGGGCACTGATGGCAGTGCTGAGCCAGGAGTGCATCTGAGGCGTGTTGGGCACCTCAGGGGCCCCTCTGCAACACTGCCTGTGATTAAAGCCCCAAAAACGCCCACCAGGAGAGCCCAGGCAGCCCAGATGTCTCCAGGGTCACCAGTGATCCTGTGCTCTGATCTCAGAGTCAGGGATGAACACTGCTGAAGCTTCCTTTGAAATTCTCAGCTAAAAAATTCTCATTCAGGGAGGCTGAGAAGGGAATTGACTGGTGGAGGATTGCTAGGAAGGGGGAAATCTATCAGCTGTGGGATTTTAAATGGTTGGTACTCGGAATATACTTAAAATTGTATTTAAAACTGTTACTTGTTGATTAAAGTTTGGATTCCCACTCTGAAAGGGAGGTGAGGGAGGGGCTGCTGGGGAACAGATCTGTTCTTTGCCTGGCAGGAGAGTCCTGGCCTTGTGGACACAATGAGCATAAAGAGTCATAAACTGCAGAGTATTGTTAAAAATCAGGTGTTGAATTGATAGTGCTGCATTTTCCTGAAGCCAAGAAGAGCCATTGGGAAGGAGGTAAAGAACTGTCGTGTCTGGAATAAGGGTTTTGTCAGGAATCCTGTAATTCTGTCAGGAATCCTGAAACCTGCCCATTGGCAGTGCTGGAAGCAATCAGAAGTGCTCATTTGGCATTTTCTGTCTCCAAATAATTTCTCCTTTTAATGTGAAGTATTTGGTTGAAGCTGGTAGCAGTGAAAGGCTGAGGAGTCTGGGGGAGCCTCCTGAGGTGAGATTGTGCCTCTGCTTTGTCTCAGCAAGATTTCAGCTCTGCACAGTCAGGCTGAGGGGAGTGCTTGCTTGTGTTCAAGGCTGGCCAGTTGCAGTGCACATAAATGATGTGCAATCCTTCTGTAAATTAATTGCTGGTGTTTTATTTTGCAGGAAGCAGTGTGGTTCCTATCCAACATCACTGCAGGAAACCAGCAGCAGGTTCAGGCAGTAATAGATGCAAACCTTGTTCCAATGATAATCCATCTTCTAGATAAGGTCAGATCCCAAGCATTGGTGCTGGGCTTCAAATCCTGCTTTGCTTTCCAGCTCTTGGTGTCTTTTAAAAAGTGATTTCCCAAACCTCTCTGTGCTGCCAAGGCTCTGCTGTGGCAGGAGGAGGGAACAGCAAAACCGTGTGGGAATTCTTCAAGGGAAAAGACAAATAACCCAGAGCTGGTCACAGATAGCTCTGTTCACTGCCAGTTATTGATCTGTGAGGAAAGATTGGAGACTTTTCCATGGCACCCCAGCCCTGAGGTGCTGCAGCAGCCCCAGCTGCAGCCTGCAAGGCTTTATCAGAGCTGCCATGGGCTCAGCTGGCCCTGCAGATGTGGCAGCTGCTGATAAGGGCTGGCAGAGTGCAGGGCTGCAGCTCCTGCTTGCCTTGCTGTAAACAACCCTTCCCTTCCCCCTTTCCTTTTCCCCCTTTCCTTTTCCCCCTTTCCTTCTCCCCCTTTCCTTCTCCCCCTTTCCTTCTCCCCCTTTCCTTCTCCCCCTTCTCCCCCTTTCCCCCTTTCCCCCCTTTCCCCCCTTTCCCCCCTTTCCCCCCTTTCCCCCCTTTCCCCCCTTTCCCCCCTTTCCCCCCTTTCCCCCCTTTCCCCCCTTTCCCCCCTTTCCCCCCTTTCCCCCCTTCCTTTTCCCTTCCCCACCCTGGGTGTAGGGAGGGATGGACACACAGACACTCACACAGGACAGGATTTATTTGTTACCTCACACTGAGCTGTTACAGTGACTCCTTGCACAGGGGACTGTAACAAACGCAGATTTGTGGGAATCCTGCCTGACACAGACCCTGGGCTGACTGTTCTGTCTCTGCTTGTGCTTGCAGGGGGATTTTGGGACTCAGAAAGAAGCTGCTTGGGCAATAAGCAACTTAACAATCAGTGGGAGAAAAGACCAGGTGAGTGCAGCTTTGGGGAAACATTTCCTGCCTTGGGAGGTGCTGGGGTTGGGGGTGTCTCTGTTCCTTCTCTGTTCAGCATTTTCCCTTCTCCCCATGGCATTTAGGAGTGATCTCCTGAGGTCAGGAGCATCCCTGATGATTTCAGCCAGGCTCTGATGGGATTCTCAAGCATTCCACATTTCTTTTTACCTTTTTTCCCCCACCACAAGGATGTGGTCATTAAAAGGACAGTAACCCCTGAGTAGGGGATACACAAGTCCCTTGTAAGCCCAGAGTAAGAGATTTGTGGCAGGGTTGGGGTGGTGCTGCCACTCTTCAGAGGTGAGGTTGAAACTCCTTATCTGACACTGACAAATCCAAAGTATTTGCTCCTGGGGTGTTGTAAATCTCCAATCTATTTGTAATTTAATACCCAAAGTTCCCCAAAAAGGGGTTCCCCACTGCAGGAGCTCTGGGCTGGGTGGGTGACATTGACAATCTGCGTTTGCCTATGCTGCTGCCACGTTCCTGCTGTAACTCTTGGCTTTTCCCCCCTCAGGTGGCTTACTTGATTCAACAAAATGTAATTCCTCCCTTTTGCAATTTGCTGACAGTAAAAGATGCACAAGTTGTGCAGGTGGTTCTGGATGGACTAAGTAATATATTAAAAATGGCTGAAGAGGAAGCAGAAACCATAGCCAACCTTATAGAAGAGTGTGGAGGTAGGAGGGGCAGGGGTTTCGTAACTCCTCAGGGATTGCTGCTTTGGCATCCTGCTGGTGCTGGCTTTATTGTTGGCACGGATATTTTAAGCAAACCTGTTTTAAAGTACCTTTCTCATGCCTATCAGGTGAATATCCACAGCTTCTCCTAAGTGCACGATCAAATAAAATGTGGAGAGCAGGATAATGGCAGGGAAGTTCATGAGGTGCTAATTTTGTAACAGGCTGCATATCAGACAAATTAGTCTAATTAACAGAAACTAAATTAGTCAATGTGGGGGTGACGTGCTTACCTTAATCATGTCCACGTGAGCTTGGAATAAATAATTCTACATACAGTGGTTGTGAAAATGTAATAACTTCAATTTCCTCATGGTTTTGAGAATTTCTCCATATTCTTTGTGGTTTAATTGACTGAAACTTTTCAGGGATGAAAGAACAGTGATAGTAAATTTGGGCACAGGTGAAAAACTGTGGGATTTGTTAACGTGAAGTAGAATAATCCTTAAAATACCAAATCTATGTACTGAACTTCTGTGTTAATATGTATAAAATATATATAAATATGCCAGGTGGGTTCAACAGCATTTTATTCATAACCAGATCATTCATAACTCTATTCCCAATGTATTTTTTAATTTCTTTGTTGGAAGTTGTTTGGCCTGCATTTGCTGTTCTGAGATCTCTTGTGTGTTGGTTGCAGGCCTGGAGAAAATTGAACAGCTACAAAACCATGAAAATGAAGACATCTACAAACTGGCTTATGAGATCATTGACCAGTTCTTCTCCTCAGATGATGTGAGTGTGCAGGGTGCTCGTGGTTTGCAGTTGCAGATGTGCTGCAGGGAAGGGCAGCAGCCCCAGGCTGGGCCAGGGAGAATCTGAGCCCTGGTGTGACCCCAGCACCTCCTGCCATTGCTGAGGCAGCTACAGCAGATCTGGTGCCTCATTTAAGGCTCATCTGCAGGGATTAAACCCCAGGCTGTGAATAGTCCTGAACTCCCAGCCTGACCCTGCCCTGGTGCTGAGCTCCCTGCTGGCTCCAGGCCTGAGGCTGCTGCTCCACAAACAGAGTTGGGATGTTTGGGTAATTGCAGGGCTGGGATGTGCTGATCAGGAGCGTTGTTCTGTTTTGAGACATGAACATAAATCAGAGGCAGGGCTGGTTTTGTGCACTTCCATCAGGAAGTTCATTGCAGAGGGAAGGGCAGCCCTGCAGTCTGGGCCATGCAGGGAGGGTTTCCTGCTGCCCTGATCACTGCACAAATGGTTGGGTTCAGCTGCATTCCTGGCTGTTTGCACCTGGAAGGGTTTTTGTGCTGCATTTCACTTTGATGTGAGCAGTGAGAGCCAAGTCTTGTTTAGCGGCTCAACTTTGGCATTTACAGCTGGACTTGGAATTCAATCCCATTCAGTTTGGGCTTAGTCCTTCCTTGGCTTAGAGGTGCTGGTCTGCTCCTAAGGACTGAGGTTGTTTCTGATACTCCCAGAAGGTTTTCCAGGAGAGAAAATTGTGTCAGCGAGAGGGTTTGGGGTGCCATGTAGCACTCCCTGATAAATACAAACTAAACATTTGGGTTTAAATCACTTAATTTTGGTGCTCTCACTAAACCAGGGGAGGGATGGCAGGGCTGGGTGCAGGGAGGTGAGGAGAGAGCTGCTTTTGGGATTGTCCAGCTCCTGTGTGGGGTTTTGTTGTGTCCCTGCTCACGGTGTCCCCGTTGCATTCCAGATTGATGAAGATCCAAGCCTTGTTCCAGAAGCGATCCAAGGCGGAACATTTGGTTTCAATTCATCTGCCAATGTACCAGCAGAAGGGTTCCAGTTTTAGAGTGGTATTTTGGAAGTTTAGGTACAATGCAGCACCGAATAAAAAAAAAAAAAAGGTTTGATCCATCAATCTTGGCTCATGGGATCCGCTGCTGCATTAAATCGGGAAAGTAAACGTGAAGATTTCATTTGGAATCACAGAAAAGCCCAAATGAAGTCAAGATGGCGAGTGGGTGCGAGTGAGAATGAGTGGCAAAATGTAATGACAAACTTCACACTGAATGCTTCTTTAGATTGTTCAAAGAAAAAGGGCTCCAGGTCCCAGCTCTGCAGTGCCTGAGGAGGAACACCGCCCTCCCGAGCCGGGGGCCGCAGGACTCTCATCATCAGCCTCAGCATCAGCGCCCAGGGCAGGGCAGGGAGAGGCAGGCCTCGCTCTGCACCCCGTGTGAGTGATGGCAGCTGCAGGGCATGCAGTGCAGGGATGCAGGAGTGTCTGCAGTGAGTGTCTGCAGCTCTGTGCAGTGCAGTGAGTGCCTGCAGCTCTGTGCAGTGCATGCAGGAGTGTCTGCAGTGAGTGTCTGCACCTCTGTGCAGTGCAGAAGTGTCTGCAGCTCTGTGCAGTGCAGTGAGTGTCTGCAGTGAGTGCCTGCAGCTCTGTGCAGTGCAGTGAGTGTCTGTCTGCAGCTCTGGTTCATGCAGTGAGTGCCTGCAGCTCTGTGCAGTGCAGTGAGTGTCTGTCTGCAGCTCTGGTGCATGCAGTGAGTGTCTGCAGCTCTGTGCAGTGAGTGCCTGCAGCTCTGGTGCATGCAGTGAGTGCCTGCAGCTCTGCCCCGGGCAGGGCAGGAGCGAGAGGGGCGTGCCTGTGATTGTCTGTGAGCGTGGTGCGAGCTTGAGTCGCCTCCAGGGGCTGAGAAACCTAAAATCATCCAATGAGTTCACAAGTGTTGACTTACACTGGACACACCAAGACCGGTTTAGCAGCAGACTCTGGTTTACTCCTGCAGCCTGTGTTTTCCTCTTTTTTTTTTTTTTTTGTTTTATTTTAATTTTTTTCCCCTCTTCTTTTTTTTTTTTTCTTTCAGTTCTTTTCAGTTTCTTTTTCCTGTTACGGCTTCTTAGTTGTTTGTAAAGTCAGAATTTCAGGAAGGCTTCCCTGTGCATTTGCACCAGATGAATGTTTGATGTTATGAAAAGCTTTTCCATATCATCAAAACTAATTTGTAGATTTTTGCATGGAAAAAAACAAACAAACAAAAAAAAAAATCATCCATTTCCCTTCAAACTAGACTGTGTTGCAGTACACAAGTTGCCATAATAGTAGAAAGCAGTAAAAATGTGGTAATAAAACCTCATCCTTTTCATTTTCAAAGATAACACGAGACCTTTGCATGTGGTAATCTCCAGCATAGTTCATTTTTAGATTTCGTTGAGTCCTGTAACCAAAATGTTTCTGTTGTGGTAGGATACCGTGCTGTGTTTCAATGTTACTTGTTTTCAAACTTTGTTTTCTATGAAAATGATATGGAAACGTCTAAAAATTAAATTTGGTGCATATGTACTGCTGAATAAAGAGCGAAAAAAAGAGGTGTGAATAGATGTACAAATCAAGTCATGGTTTGAACACCTTTAATATGCCTAATCCAATTGTTTTAGACTCTTTTTATCCTAGATGTAGGCAGCCATGAACAATCTATTTTGAGCCACTTTAGAGAGAAAAAAAAAAAAAAAACTTTGTATTTTTAAAACTTGCACAAAAAGGATGCAAGTGTTTTTATAATTGGAGGAATGCCTCAGTTTTGAGGTCGTGCGCACTAAATTCAAGGTGATGTTACAAATTTGTACAAACTGAACTCTTGATAAGGTGGCTCATTGTAGGAAATGCTGTGCCTTCCCCTTTGAGCACAAGTGTTGCATGAACAACAGTTTGCTATAATAAAACATCCCAGGTTAGCCACCATTAGCATCTATACCTACCTTGTGTTTTCAAATCAGCTGGTAATTCTGAAACACTGTAGAATGGATAAAGATTATTTTGTGATCATAACTCTTTGTTGGACTAGAGTATTTTTGCAGCATTCCTTGTCATCAGAAACATGGTTAAAAGTTTAAAACTAGAAGCAGCGGAAAACTAGCTTGTGAATTTATCCAAGTAGAGTGCAGGCTAGGCTGTCTTGGGGAAATAAACATTAAAACTTGCAACTCTGCTGCCCTGCCTGTTTCTTTATGGAATATTCACGTTTTTCAGCATGAAACACAGAGATTATTTATTGATAGTGACTTAAAGGCTCTGGGTTGGGGTTTTTACCTGCTAAATATTTGTGTGTTGCAGGTTGGAAGCGTGGAGTTATTTTGCTGTAAATGTTAAAAAAAATAACAATTTTATTTCAGGTTTCCTTAGTCACCTCTGTATATTCACTGAATAAATCAGGGCTGGTTTCATGGAAAAAGTAGGGAATCCATGGAGGAGGGAAATGAAACCCTTTTTATGGAAGTTGCAGTGTTGTAAGGAAAATTCTAACCAGTAAATTATAATTTTCATCTTCAAACACCTTTGTGAGGGATGTTCCATAGAAAATGGAACAAATTGTTTTGCAAACTTTTCTTGTTGGGGTAGGAAGAGAACAAATATTTGTGGCAACTTCTATTTTCCTAAAAATACCCCCAAAACTCCATATTTAATGCCAAAAAATGCCTTTTGGGCACTTCCTCATAACTCCAGAAAATTCCCTGGAGTTGTTGCTGCTCCAGATTTTCCCCTTTTTTGGTGGATTTGGGGCTTTGGGGTGAGTTTTTAACAGGGAAATTCTCTTCCCCTGCTTCACAGCAGATCTGTCACCGTTATTTCACCAAAACACGGGAATGTGAAATATTCCCGAATATCCACAGGGTGGCACCACCGGAGCCGCTTTGGGCTTTGCCTTTTTTCCCAAAATTTGCATTTTGAGGTGATGCCGTTGATTCCTTTGTGGGGGAAAGGGGGATTTGTTGGGGAATCTGGGATACAAACAAGAATTTGGGAATTGCCTCTGGGAATACTGATCACTTGAGTTTGGGTGTTGTATCCATATTTGTATATTATATATATATATTAGAATTATCCTGAATTTTGGAGTAGAAAATTATCTTTTCATCTGATTTTAGGATAGCAAATAGAAAAACATTTACAATATTAAAAGGACAAAAATGAATCTACAAATCAGCTGTGCCAGGTAGGAATTTTTATTTTAAGAAAATGAATAATAGGAAATAGGAATAAAGGGAAATAAGGAATTTTTATTTTAAGTGGAAAAAAAATCAATTAGCTACCCTGGAATTGTAGGATCTGGGAAGAAGAATGAGCTGAGAGGAAAGGGGTTTCCTTTCTCTGCTGGCAGTGGAATTATCCCAGGTTCTTTTCAGCATTCCCTGGACAGAGCTCATCCCACCTTCCTTCCCAGTAAGTTGTGAATTTCTGAATTTCTGCTTTGGGAGTGGGACAGGCTGGTTTAAATCCCCATTTCTGCACACAACAGTCAGATAAGGACAAATTAAAAGGGTTTCAAGGCACAGGAAACCCTGGCAGAGCCACTTCATGACTTTAGGATGTCTGCAGATTGAAAGTCAGACTTTTTGCCACTTCTAACTATAAATGTTTCCTCAGCTCTGCGTGTCACCAAGCTCTGGCAGGAGAGCTGCTCCCGGGGCTGGGAGCAATTAGAGGAATTCTGCATCTGGATCAAATATTGCAGAGGAAACTTGGTAGCTGCAAACGTGTCAAGTTTACAAACTGCTCGGGGTGAGTTGTAGCTACTGCTCCAGTGAAACGGGGGGCACCGAAATCCTTGGGAAATTAATATTGCTGTGTTATCCACAGAAAGGGGCTGGAAGCTTCATTTCCATCAAATAATTCCCACTCTTGCTAATCAATCCTGTATAAATCCAGTATTTACCCTGCTGGTTTGGTGTGCCCTAAAGCTGAGGAAGACTTTTCCTTAAGCTGTCATTAAAATGTCAATACTTTCAATTTTAAATTTCTATAAAGCACTAAAAGCTGCTTTTACTAGAAAAGGACCAATTTTGGGAAACCTTAAATGCCAATTATTGGTAAATGTGTTCCAGGAATTTTGTAATTTGATGGAAAGGTGGGTGAGGGTCAGAGTTCCTATCAGCAGTACAGACCATGGCTTTGACCACTGATTTAATTCCTGGAGAGGCAGTTTGCACTTGAAATGCTGCCTCTTAATTTGAGTACATCAAATAGATGAAAACCAACAGATGCTTTAACCCTCAGTATTGTGAATTATTGTCAAAAGCTCCCTTATTTCCTGCTCCTGTAGTTTTCCCCTTCAGGTTTTTCTGATGTGTTGGGTAATTTGTGATTAGAGCTTGAGGGTTTTTATTATTAGAAACTTAATTCTTGCTGTTTCCCAGATACTTGTACAATATTCTGTACACAGTTTTAAGACATGATTAAGTAAGTTTGGAATGATGGTGCATTATTATTATTTACATCACAACATTGAGTTTCATTTCTCTTTCAAATGCACTGTGTAACAGCTGAGAGTAACTTCAGTGCACTGTAAATTAACAGAGGATAATGTGAATATGAGAAAAGCCTTCACTGGGTGCTCCTCTGGGCCTGCCCCCCCCCCCCCAGGGCGGAATTCCTTCCCAAAATCCCACCCAGCCCTGCCCTGTGTCCTAAAACCCTCTCAGGTGTCTTCGGCAGATAAATGAGCTTCAAAGGAAAGACGAAACAATTTAAATTTCCCTGGTCAGCAGCTGGCCCAAGTTGCGGTTCCGTGGCTCCCGTTTTCCACCTTCAGGGTGAATTTTCCCGCGGGTTGTGGAGGGAGGTTGAGGTGCGGGACACAGAGCGGGGATGAACGCGCGGCTCCGGCTCCGTGTCCGTCCTGCCCCGAGCGGGGTCAGCTCCGCTCCTCCATCCCCTGAGCCCCGGAGCGGGGTCAGCTCCGCTCCTCCATCCCCTCCGTGTCCGTCCTGCCCCGAGCGGGGTCAGCTCCGCTCCTCCATCCCCTCCGTGTCCGTCCTGCCCCGTAGCGGGATCCTCTCCGCTGTTCCATTCCCGCAGCGATTCCTGCCGCTGGCCCTGAGGGACCCTCGCCGCAGAGCTCCGCTCTCACAGCGCCACAAACCGCGCTCCTGCCGGCCGAGGGAGGGACCCTGCGGGCCCGGCCCTTCCCTCAGTTCCGTCGCTGCTCCCCCTCCCTTCCCTCCCTCGGCCCCGCCCGTTCCCGCTCCCGCTCCCGCCCCCGCTCCCGCCATTGCCATTAGAGAGCTGCGGCCGTTACCGAGCGCGGGGCGGCGAGAGCGGCTCCATTGGCGAGCGGAGCTCCCTGGAGCGGTTTCATCGCCGAGCAGAGGAGCTCCCTCGGGGCGGTTTCATTGCGGAGAGAAGGGGCACGGAGCGGCTCCATCGCCCGGCAGAGCTCCCCGGAGCGGCTCCATCGCCCAGCGGAGCTCCCCGGAGCAGCTCCATTGCCGTGCGGAGGGGCCCGGAGCGGCTCCATCGCCCGGCGGAGCTCCCCGGAGCGGCTCCATCCCCCAGCGTAGCTCCCCGGAGCGGCTCCATCCCCCAGCGTAGCTCCCCGGAGCAGCTCCATCGCCCGGCGGAGTTCCCCGGAGCAGCTCCATCGCCGTGCGGAGGGGCCCGGAGCAGCTCCATCGCCCGGCGGAGTTCCCCGGAGCAGCTCCATCGCCGAGCGGAGGGGCCCGGAGCGGCTCCATGGCCGGGCGGAGCTCCCGGGAGGGCCCAGGCGGGCGCTGAGGGTCCCCGCAGCCTGAGGGGCCCGGCCCGGTGAGCGCCGCCCTCCCGGGACACCGCGGGGTCGGGGCCGCTTTTCTCCTATTCCAGCTCGGTGCTGTCGCTGGGACCCGCAGGGTTCGGGTGCGGATCCCTTCCCCATCCCTCGTGCAGGGACGGCACCCATCGATGGCCGTGTCCGGAGCTGCCCGGGACAGGTCGGGGTGTGCTCCTCGCCCTGGCCCCGCTGCCCGCGCTGTGCGGTACAGAACAGGTAAATGCTCCTGGCCAGAAGCTTTGACTGAGTTAAAGGGATGGAGAGTTAGTCTTGGCAGTGGAATCAAAAGATAGAGGGGGATATAGAACTATGAACTCCTGGCCCTGGATTTTTGAAGTTTGGTGTTAAAATTCCCAGCGCGGGTTTCTGTTGTAAACGTCTTGACTGAAGTGATGCCTGTACCGGTCTTGAAACATCTCTGAGATGGAGGCAGAGTGTTAAAGTTGAGTGAAAATTGCTGTGGATTTCTTACAGGCCAAGGCTGGCACTGAATTCCTTCTGACACTGAGGTGCAGAGACAGCCCTGGCTGTGCCTTGGTTTGTGCTCAGCAGTGTCACGGCCCTGCAGGAGGGAGCAGCAGGACCTGGCAGCTCCTTCCTAGGGGGCTTTGCCCTTGGAATGGGCTGCCACAGCCACTTCCCAATGCAAATTCACCTTTTGAATCCCTCACGGGAGAATGGGGGTGGGATTGTGCTCTAAAGCAGTTACTTATCCACCTACACACTGATGGCTGCTGTGGCAGGTAAAGCCAGCATTTTCCAGCTTTCTGCTGCTTGTTTTTCCCCTGGAAAACTTTTTTGTTCTCTGCTGAACTCTGTGGTGTCTTCTGTGTCCTTTCTGTTGTGTTCCCAGTCTGTTCAATCCAGCCTGCAGGTGGAAATCCATCAGTAAATGAACATTTCCTTTGTGCTGCAGGGTGACAGGGCAGCTGTGCTGCAGCATTTTAAGGAACGTGGTGGTACCCTGGAGCACAAGGAGCAGCTCTGCTGAGTGCACCGGATGAACCCGACAGCCGCATTTCAGAGAAGTACGATCCCCTCGTGGAGGAGGTGGAACAACTGAAGCTGGGAGTGAGGGAGCTAAAGGAGCTGCATTGGCTCTTCAGGAGGAGTCCCTGCTGCTCTTCCTGGAGAAGATGAACGAGCTGAAGCTGTGGCTCCACCTGAACCTGTGGAGATCCATCCTGGCTTGGAGAAGGTGCTGCAGGACACGTGGTCTGCAACTGCAATGGGGCAGGTGGCACAGGATCCACACCCCAGAGCACACCTGGCTGACAAATTCAAACAGCAGCATCTGCACTCTGGGCTGCTCCTGCTGAACCACAGCAACTGATCCTCTGCTGACCCTGATTTCCCTTGTGTTGTTGTGGCATGAGGAACTCTCATCTGGCACCATCCCGGCTCCTCTGGCACATCTCTGGAATTCCTGCTGTGCATTTATCAGCATTCCTGCACCCACCTGCAGGCCAGAGTGCAGGAGCTGTGCCACTCCTCTGGCCCGCCCCTGGAGCTGTGCAGGAAAACCCTTCCTGACTACCTGGATTAGACTGAAAACCTCACGCAGCAATCCGGCATTATTTTCAATTTCTACTTTAAAGCTGGGTTGTTAAAGCTCTACACTTGTTCTGTTTCTGTACCCTTCCTTTTCTGTATTGCATGGATTTCCTCTGAACTCAAGTCCTGATCCACTTCAGGTGAGGAGAGGTGAGCTTTGCCTCAATCCAGAACTGGGGAATTCAGTCCTTAACGTCCTCCTGCACTGCTGAGCTTCCCCTGCTGGAATTCTCTGCCAAAGATCAGGTCTATTGCTGATGAGCTTCTCCCATAATTCTTGGCACTTTTGCATTATTTTACACAATTTTGCAGTAAGTGACACTGATTCTTTAAATTGCTGTCTGTGTTTTTGGTGCTGCCCCTGCCCAGCATGATGCATTCTCTCTTTTCATCAATTTACATCTCCCTTTCTCCATTTTTACATGACATTCAAAATCTGGAATTTATCGATGCTGGGTTTATATCAACAAGATAAAATTTTTACAAAATTTATTTAAAATTTACAGAACAAAACCAAGTCTATGATACAAAATGAGACCAGATAAAAACAAACAGCAGCCATGGGCTGGAAGTTGCTTCCTCCTCATCTCTCAGCTACACTGCACGCAGGGAGACCGAGTTCCTCCAGTCCTTTCACAGCCAGGATTTTGGGGTTGGTGGCCACGCTTTTGGTGGTGTTCTGGGTTTTATAAATGCCAATTAACCGGTCTGCAATCTCAAACATGTTGTTGCGCAGGCTGATGATGATGAACTGGGCGTTTTTGGTTTGTTCCTGAAACAGAAGGGATTTGTGTTAGTGCCCAGCATTCCCAACATCCCCTCTGTCCTGCTGTGGCACACAGGGCCACGTTTAAACTGCAGCTGCAGGCAGGGAACCTCCAAGGGCTTCCCTAATCTGAAGCAGCTGCCCCTGATCTGTCAGTTAATTATAACTCTGAATATTCAATGTTTGATTACCTGAACTGGAGCCGTGTAAGGGCTTGCTTTGATTAAATATGCTGAGGGCAGAAGTTTTAAAGGCATGAAAAAAAATTAATTACTACTAGATCAAAGACACTGATGGGAATGACATGGAAGTGTAAATCCCAGGAACCTTGGGAAATCACAGGCTTGGATCCATGGAGACATCAGTCCCAGCTGAAGTTGTGTATTCTGCCAGCAGCTGATGGATTTGGGGAACTCTGTGTGTTCCAGGGGGAGCAGTAAAACTGCACAGCCCAGACCTCAAACCTGCCAGCAATTATGTGGCCACTCTGTCCCTGTGGAGGAGGAGGGACCTCGCAGGGGGCTGAGCCATGAACTCACGTAGATGTAAAAGGCCACGATGGAGACGTTCTTGAAGTCGAGGGCGGCGTCGATCTCGTCCATGAAGTACAGGGGGGTGGGTTTGTAGTGGTGCAGGGCGAACACCAGCGCCAGCGAGCTCAGCGTCTTCTCCCCTCCCGACAGGTTGAAGATTTTCTTCCAGCTCTTCTTGGGAGGCCTCACGCTGCAACAGAGCAAGGGTGGGGCTGTCAGCAGGGCTGGTCCTGCCTGAGCCCAGCCGGGGACAGGGGCTGTGCCTCTCTGCCTTTCCCAGCTCAGGGATTTATCCTGGGAGCATCCCTGCCATCATTCCCCGGGCAGAATGAAGTGATCTGGGAATTAAGAAGTGCTGGGAAATGAGTTCAAAGCTTTCCAACTGCTTTAGTTCCTGATTTTTCCAGGAAAAAGAAATGAATCTGAGAGCTGAGCAGAAACTTGTGGTTTCTGTCACTATTTGCCCACATTTGGCACTGTTTGCCCGCTATTTAGCCTTTCTTGGTTCACTTTGTTCTCAGCAGTGGTTCACCTTTCTTGGTTGATCAGTGAGCATTTACTTTAAAAACAGGTTGAACAAAGGACTGCGATGATTAAAAATTAACAGAATATAAAGTATTTTAAAAACCTGAACATGATTCCCTCGGAGAAGGGATCCAGACTGTCCACAAGCTCCAGCTCAGCATCCCCTCCCAGCGTGAGCATCTGGTAGTTCTCCTTCAGCTTGTTGGTGATGACATTAAAGCCTGCCATGAATTCGTTCAGCCTCTGTTTCCTCAGCTGTTCAAAGGCCTCTCTGAATTTGTCCCTCTCGCTGGTGATGTTGTCCAGCTCATCCACGTGCTTCAGGTACAGCTCTTCCTGCAGGGCAAACAACCAAACCCAAGGGCCCTCAGAGCAGCTGCAGTTTAAACCTAAACACTTTTCCTACCATTTGAACATTCCTTCTCTCCAGCTTGGCTAACTGCCCAAATTGTTTCTCTTTTCCCATCTCTGCTGCTGAGGGGAAACAAAAAACCAAACCTGTGTCAAAATAAAAATACTTCATCTGTTGAATGGTTCACTATTAGTGATGTGAGGAGGGAAAATCCAGCACTGTGTGTCTGTCTCGGCTGGGAAGACTTGACTCTGTTAAATAAACATTCCCAGGAGAATCATGGAATTGCTTAGGTTGGAAAAGACTTCAAGATCACCCAGGAAGTCGTAGTTACCCAACACCGATGGTGCGGGAAACAAAAGGCACAGAAGCTCCTAGAAACAACTTGCACCTTGGCTAAGGACGAGCTGCTAACAGCAGGAACAGCAAATTCCAGGCTCCCCAAAGGAAGGAGGGGATCAGGGCCGTTCCCCCGGGGCTGTCCCGTCCCCCCGGGCCGTACCTTCCTCCTGTACTCGGCGATGGCGCCCAGGTTGGGGCGGAGCTGGTGCCGCTGCGCCTCCAGCAGCGCGATTCTCTTGCTGAGCACGTCGGGCTCCTGCAGCGCCTCCAGCTCCTCCTCGCTCAGCACCCGCAGCTGCTCGGGGGCCTGGCCCTCGATGGCGTGCAGGGACAGCTTGGAGATCTGCAAACACAGCGGTGGCAGCTTTGACACACACCCGGAGCTGCTTCTAACACCGGTTTGTTCTGGGCTAGTACAGGGGAGTTTCTAATCTCCAAATGCTCCAAGGTTCTTCCCACAGATCCCTTTAAAATAGGGAGTGAAGAAGAGAATGAATTCCCTTTATGCCATTATCCTGATCCTGCCTATACAGCAATAAGCTGGGATCTGAAGAGGAATTTTCTCCCAAGCCCTCTGCTTTCTATGGGGGTATTGATGAGTTCATCCTGTGAGATCCACAGAGCAGCTGTGGCTGCCCCTGGATCCCTGGAAGTGCCCAAGGCCAGGACTTGGAGCAACCTGGGACAGTGGAAGGTGTCCCTGAGGGTGGATCTGGATGAGCTTTAAGGTCCCTCCCAACCCAAACCATTCCACAATTCCCTGATTTAAGGTTTTGGAACAAAAGCATTTCTTACCTCTTTCTGCCAGTATTTAACCTTTCCCTGGTGGGTGGAAATGTGGCTGTCAATCTGTTCAATTTTCAGCTTGATGCTCAGAGCATCACTTTGAAGGGCATGTTCAGCATCTCGAATAGTTTGCATCTCCTGGAGTAAATTCTTCTGCTCCTCCTGCACTGCTGGCAAAGCTTCCTGAATAGAAAAATGGCAAATACCCCCCAAAAGGGCATTAATCAGTTACCTATAAAAGTGCTACCCGTTTTTTGGGTGAAAAGTCTGTTTTCAGTTAATTTATTCACAGCCATGGATGGAAACAAATAAATATTCTTGGATTTATAACTGATCCTTGAATTCTGGAATGACTGAGAAAATGCTGCAATTGGTATTTTCATTCCAGATCTGGATCAAACAGGTCCTACACTCATTTTTAGCTAATCATAGAAATACATCAAATCTTGGATGTATTTGAAAGCATTTCAGCCATCCTGGTTTTCCCTTTCTCACAGAAATCTAAATGGGAAACTAAAATCCCACCTAACTGGAAAAGTTTTATGTTTAAGAAAGTTTTTATATGTAAGAAAAATTTTATGCTTAAGAAACAATTTGTTTGGGGAGACCTGGTGTTAGCTTTTTCCTAAACTGGGTCAGGATAAATTTCCAGGTGAGTATAAAAAATGAAAATACCCCATTGGCATGGCCTGGCTGCTCTGCAGAGAATGGGCTGTCAGTGGGACACGGGAGGATTGAACTCCCCTCCCTGATTTCCCTGGAGCCCAGAGGGGTCCCAGCACTCACCTGAGCCTGCTTGCACTCGTTCATCACCTCGCTGGCTTTGTCCTCCAGCGCTGTCGTCTCTTCTGTCAGTTTTGTCATCTCCTTCTCGTTCTCCTCCATCTCCTTCTCCGTGCGCTGCAGAGCCTCCTCGCACTTCTTCAGGTTCCTGCCCAGGGACAGGGAGCTCTGTGCACCTCACAGAAAACAACCAGGAGCACAATCTCACTGGCAACAAGGAGGAGGTGCTGCCTTAGGCACCAGCTCCCCCACTCCAGAGGGATCCGAGGAAAACAGAGTTGTCTTCCTCACTAAATGGCTTCGTTTCTTCTTTCAGAGTTTGGAATCTCTGGGGAGTGGTGAGCTCCCATAAAAAATAGATCCCATTTTATTTCCTGACAGAGCTCCTAATAAAATCAGTCCCTTCAGATTTGAACTGCTCCAGCACATCCAATCCAGTGCTATTTTGGACTTTATCCTGAATATTGCAGTTTAGGCAATATTAAAGAAATCATTCAGGCAAATACTAGAGAAATGCTGATTAAATGTGACACTTAAACTCTTAGAAACTACAAAATTTGACTTCCCTTTCCCTCCCTGAGCCCCACGTAGCACAGCTCCAGCCTGAGGCTGCCTGTGCTGTACCTGTCTGCAGTCTTGGCTGCCACCTGGGCCTTGGTGATGGCTGAGGAACATTCATCCATCTCCTTATCAATCTTATCGATTTTGTCCTGCTGGGCCTTCAGTTTCTGGTTGTTGGTGTCCATGATGAGCTGGTGCAGCCGTTTCACCTCCTCCTCCATCTTCCCGGCCTTCTCAGCCACGCGCTCATAAACTGTGTGAGGAGAGGGGAGTCAGTTCTTAATCAAAATTATTTAATGTACACAGAGTACTCCAATACAGGAGGTGTGCATTAGAGCTTACTC